ATGAATTTCCAATAGTACTCGAGTCTTTTGTTTGTGACGGATAACGTCAATAATTTATCGGGTGCGCCTACGGTGACATGCATGTCACAGTGACTTGCACTTTCCGGGCGACCTCAGTTAGGATTAGGTCGACCTCATTTAGGATACGGTCGACCTCATATAGGATCAGATCGACCTCATTTAGGATTCGGTCGACCACATATAGGATCAGGTCGACCTAATCTGTTGTTTCAGTGTAAAAACAGTTCATGGTGCCTACTTTGGAGATTCATATCAAACAATTGGCTAGATGGAAATTGAAGAATAATGACTTGTTTTGAAGCTGGAGTGTCCCTCTACATATTGAAGTGATTGAGAGCTCGATAGGAATTCCAGAAGACCATTTTTGAACCTCATCAAAAGGCTATGCCAAAACTGGGAAACTGCCGGGATATGGCTAAGTCTGGAAACGTGTTTGTGAAGCCTATTTTGGAGCTCAATTCGAGAAGCATGAATGCGAGTCGAGTCCCGGAGCCTCTACCACGTTAAATTAGGTATGTTTTTATACAAATTCAAGTCATTGGATGAAAGATTGGATATCCGTAAGGCTTCAAACAAAAGGGTCGAAGTTGCTACGAAGGCTGTTTTCTGGCAGACTTCGAGCACAAGGAAGCTGCCAGAAAACAACCTTCGTAGCAACTTCGAGCCTTTTGTTTGAAACCTTAAAGATATTCAATCTTTCATCCAATGACCTGCCTTTGTAGAAGAAGAAAAAATATGTAATTTAACGTGGTAGAGGCCCCTGGACTTGACTCGCATCCATGCTTCTCAAATTGAGCTCCAAAGTAGGCTTCACAAACACGTTCCCAGACTTAGCCATTTTCAGGCAGTTTCCCAGTTTTGGCATAGCCTTTTGATCAGGTTCAAAAATGGTCTTCTGGACTTTCTATTGAGCTCCCATGTACTTTAATGTGTAGAGGGACACTTCAGCTTCAAAACAAGCCATTAATCTCCAATTTCCATCTAGCCAATTGTAAGATATGAATCGCCAAAGTAGGCACCATGAAACTGTTTTTACACTGAAACAACAATTAGGTCGACCTAATCCTATATGAGGTCGACCGAAAAGTGCATGTCACCGTGACATGCATGTCACCGTAGCAAAGTCCTAATTTATCTATGGATAATAATTCATAACCCGCTAATAGTTCAACTGGCACAAATCACTTTTCCCCAAAATTTTGAAAATCTAAGGTGTTAAATAGAAGTTAAGAATATTAATGGGTCATATCGTTTTTATTTTAAGTCGTAAATCATTTTTTCACACAAAAAATCTTATTAATTGTACTATTTAGTTTGACATCTACTTTGATTGATTTTTGAACAAAAAAATTGAGACATAAATTAACCGTCTATAATATGGTGGTAATGCTTGGTAGTACATAGAAATATATCATGATGGTATTAAAGTGTATCATAGTGTTATGAATATTTCAAAGTTCAAGAAAGCGCTAGAAGCTAGGCGGGTGTTGGAATCCTGCCTAGCACCTAAATTGCTTAAGCATCGTCTAGACGTGCCTAGGCGTTTGAAGCGAAAAAGAGAAGTTACACTAAAAATAATTTGCATGAGACACAACTTACACTAAGAATTTTTAAAACACACAAGTTTGGGCTAATCACTGGAGACAAAAGCGATTTTATCCAAATCACTGATAACAAACATGATTTAGCTAAATCGTTGCTCATGCTATCGATCGAGCTTCAAAATTGCAGAAGGCTCCAGCCATTTGCATAATGCATAAGTGAAAACTTCAAATGAACGCAATTTGTTGCTTTATTATCCCAGTTGAAACAAAAAATATATATATATATTTATCATAACTTTGTGGTTGTGAAAATTTGGAAAGGTTATGCGAAATAAGAAAAATTGATTTGATTGGTTAACCGAATGCCTAAGTTATGCGACATAAAAAAAAAATCGTTTCGATTGGACAATCAAACACAATGTTACGATCGTTTCCAGTTCGACATATATATTAGGTAAAAGTGTTGGACGCTCCATCAGTTTTGACACTAGATCGCTTGAGAGTGCAACGATTTAGCTGGATCCTGTATGTTACAAAGATTTGCACCACCAAAATTGCACCATGGATCCTGTAGTAAAATCGCTTTTGTCTCCATGAATTTGCACCAAAATTGATAGAGACGGCAATGATCTAGCCCAAACTTGTATATGTTGAAATTTGGGTTAATACCTTATTTTGACCCGAACTATGATCATATAATCAATTTTGGCCTGTGGTTTCAGAAATTAACATCCTGGCCTCAACTATGCAGCATATAGACTTAATTGCCTGACACATAGTTTGACCGTCAATTTGGAGGGTCAACTCCGTTGACCGTTAGTCAACAAGCAATGTCATTGCCTAGTCAACCTAAAAATTATTAAAAAAATTCAAATTCAAATTATTTTTCTAATTTTTCTTATTTATTATCAAATTAATCAAAAATAAATGATAAAAAACGTAAAATAAATTTGATTTTTTATTTTTTGGATAATTTGAAAAATGATAACTTTATAAATTAACCAAAAATTATCAAATTATTTTATATTTTTAAAACTTCCCACAAAAATATAATTTATATCATACTTTTTAAATTTATAAAATTTAATTTGATCATTTTTGGTTAATTTATAAAATTTATCATTTTGAAATATCCCAAAAAAATTATTTTTATATTTTTAGAATTTTATTTTTTGGTTAATTGGAAAATGATAAATAATAGAAATTAGGAAAATAATTTGAACTTAAATTTTTTAATGATTTTTAGGCTGACTAGGCAATGACATGGCATGTTGAATAACGGCCAACGGAGTTGACCGTCCAAATTGACGGTCAAACTATGTGTTGGGCCAATTGAGTCTATATGCTGCATAGTTGAGGCCAGGATGTTAATTTATGAAACCACGGACCAAAGTTGACTATATGGTCATAGTTCGGGCCAAAATAACGTATTAACCCTTGAAATTTTTTAGAGTAAATTATATATATTGCGAATGTTTTTAAAAAGTCTAGTGTGAAAAAGTCCTAGACCCACCAACAAGGAATCAATTGAGGGATTCCAAAAGTTGGTAGTAGGTAAAATTGGGTTCAATCGCTAATTGGACACAATCACGCAAACTGGTTAGAAAATGATTGATATGAAGAGATAGTAAAAAAATATTATATAAATTGGTCGGTACAATTAGGTTCAATGGCTAATTGGACACAAACACGCAAACTGGTTAGAAAACGATTGATATAAAGAGATAATCAAAATCGTTGAAAATTTATCAAAATATAGAAAACATGTGGCTGATCGGAATGATAAATTTTCAATACCAAAACAAAATGATGTTGTTTTGGTGACTTAATTAACAAAAAGATAGAAATTCGTCGGGACAATTAGGTGATATTATCTGTTGGATTCAAGTATAAATGTCTGGACATTGACTTAAAACGTTGCATTTAAATATTATAATAATGTCTTCTTATTTGTAATATGAAATTTTAGTTAAATACGGATGAAATTATAGGAAGATTGTTTTTAAAAATAGGTTAATATCTTATTTTGGCCCGAACTATGACTATATAATCAACTTTGGCTCGTGGTTTCAGAAATTAATATATTGGCCTCAACTATGCAGCATATAGACTCAATTGGCACGACACATGGTTTGACCGTCAATATCGTTGACCGTCAGTGAACACTCCATGTCATTGCCTCGTCAGCCAAAAAATCATTAAAAAAATTCAAATTCAATTTATTTTCCTAATTTCTAATATTCATCATTTCCAAATTAACCAAAAAATTATATTTTATTTTTTGGAATATTTGAAAATTATAAATTTTATAAATTAACCAAAATTATCAAATTAAATTTATAAATTTAAAAAATATGATATAAATTATAGGTGACTACTTCGTTGCACTCACAAAAATGAGTGCGTTCAATGCACCCAACTCAAAAACTAGTCTTAAGGTGTCGGATTTTGAATTTTAAATTGTAGAATTAGTGTAATGTGATGATATAACATATGATAACAACTAATTAGCCGATTACCCTAAGCCCTGGACCTCCAATTTTGAGTTCTATCCCTAAACCTAAAATTGTAAACCCTAACCCTAAATCTCTAAATCCTTCAAATTAAACTAAATGTTTAATGGTTTTTGTGCAAATTCATATGCGTTATTGTTCATCGCATCATAACTGATGATTGACATCATTTTGACATAAATAGCATGTTTAAATGACGATTATGAAGCGAGTGCACTGAATTCACCCAAAAAAGTGGGTGCACCGAAGACGCCACCATAAATTATATATTTTATTTTTGGGAAATTGTAAAAATATAAAATAATTTGATGATTTTTGGTTAATTTATAAAATTTATCATTTCAAATTACCCAAAAAAGTAAAAAATTATTTTATGTTTTTTAATATTTTATTTTTGGTTAATTTGATTAATAAATAATAAAAATTTAAAAAATAATTTGAATTGAATTTTTTAATGATTTTTAGGCTGATGTGGCAATGACATGACGTGTTAACTAACGATCAATTGGGTTGACCATCCAAATTGACGGTCAAACAATGTGTCTGGCCAATTGAGTCTATATGTTTTTTTATGAATAATTGAGTCTATATGGTTGAGGCCAGGATGTTAATTTTTGAAACCACGAGCCAAAATTGATTATATGGTCATAGTTCAAACCAAAATAAGATATTAACCCTTAAAAATATTACATATGCACAACTATTCCCAACTTTTCTAACATGTTTTGAAACATCGACATAAACCAATTATACCCGTTCAAAATTCAAATCATACCACTTGCTAATACATTTTGACAATAGCAACTAGCAAAAGGCATCCTAATTCTTAATAAGATGCATCTTGTGATACCGTACGGACACACGCCAAGTGTTCCATGCTTCATTACTTCTACTTGAAAAAGAGTAACAGGAAGTAACGAGATTTGAGAAATTAAAAATCAGATTATCTAACCAAGCAAATTTTCTGTTCATCTGTACAATTTCTTTTGTCCCACTAAACAAACGATATTTACACAAACATTATCGGCCAGATTATACACATATATACACAAACTGAACGGAATGTCAAAACAAAAACCAAGTTCAACATTCAGTTCCCCATTCTCGGACGAATTTGGTGGACGAAGACATTCAAATGTACAGTTCGAGAGTTCAAAACTATAATAAGGTGCAAGGCACATATTCCGAATTCTACCCGACAGAACTATGAAGTTTACGCTCTCAATTGCAATGACGTACCGGGAAGCATACGTTAAAACCAGAGAGTGTGACGGAGTTCATCAAGAGCAGCATACAAAGGTCCAGCAGCCTTTGGTCTGTCCACATTGCCAAGTAGAATGTCGCTTGTTGTGAGATAAGGATCGCCGTAGAAGTTGAGATTAGTATCCATCCTTGTCGTAACCACATTCCCTTCAAGTGATACACCAACAAATGCACCTGTAAACATTTGCAGTAATGAGCGGTTAGCTATTGTTGCAAGCTAAACCATACAAATGTTGATTCATCCATCATTTCAGGCTAAATTGCAGCGATACAGTGTTTACACCTATACCAACGCAAACCAGAACTAGAAACATAGTCTTGAATACCTTTACTGCAACTGTATGTGTAGCACATGCCAGAACCTCTATCACCAGCCCTGAGATCAGCTTCCACAACCCTCCCAATAGGCCCTGCTGCAGCACTACAGCCAGCACCGAGAGAGAAATGCATGCGGCTAGAAAACGTCTTTACAGCCTTCAGGTCACGAAGAACAATTATAAAGTCCATGAGCTCACCTCCAACCTGTTAAACAAACAAGAATACCTGCCATCAGGGAGAGCATAACAGAAAAATGAAAAAGCTGGTAAAGAGAAAGGCATGGAAGATTGACACTCATAACAATGCAAAACAGAACCTGTGTCTACGCACAGTAATGAAGAGTATTATTTACATGAACTTAAAGGAGAAGCAGAGACAGGTCAAAGTATCGAAATTGCATTTAAAACTGCGGAAAACTGTTCCTTTTTTACAATAAGTTTTTAACCTGCAGTTGACATAACTTATCTTCAGAGAAAGATGAGCTTAAGAGATTAAACAAACAGATGCACTGGCCAAGACGGATCCTGTATAATTTGATCAGGATCCATCCGACATTCCCAGGTATATGTTCAACAGTTCCAGCATGCACCCAACAAAAAAATGTTTACCTGAGCACCCCATCCTAAACCAACTGAGCAAATGGCAGATGGCGCAGACCATGTTCCATCAGACCTTCGAGCAATTACTAAACCAGTTCCAAGTTTGTAGGCAACTACAACACCTGCTTTAGCAACTGTCAGAATAGCCAGGCCTCTGGCTCCCTTCAAAACTGCTTGAGGTATGGATTTGTCAGGATTCAACTTTGCAACCTGCGATTCAGAGAGACAAAGACATAATTTTGACACGTTACTGAAAGGACCAGCGAAACACTACAACTTTATGAGGAGCAACCAAGTGAAATTGGCAACAGAAATGCATACCCACAAAGTGCATAGAAAAGAAGATAAATCGTATCAAACATAACTGCTGAGTCTAGCAGCAAATGTACAAGACACTGTAAAGTAAGCACAATCTCAAACTTGACAGAATCTCATAGGCTGATATTAAGGAAATATTCAGATCAAACACTCATAGCATATAACTAATGACATAGACCTACATTTGAAGCACAATGAACTGCATGAGTAAAACAATTTACACGCCACTGGTTTCAAGGGTTTTACAAGGGGATTGAAACGAACAGATCTCTGACCGAAGTTCATAACTTAAGGTGAATGACCATCTGGTTAGAAGCCCAGAATAACGTTACTAGCCCAAAAAACATCGGGGGACAAGCTCGACAATAGTTTTCTGGAGTTCAAAACTAAGCTTGAGCCAAATTGGAAAAATCTCCAGCCAACTCATGATTGTTCAAGCTTGCTTGGCTCAGGCCACTATATTCAGGCCTACCAAGTGACCAAGCAGTCCAGCAAAATATGGCTGTTCAAAAAGCACAATAATAATGTATTGAAGAGGGAAGATATTAAACCTGGCAATAGCTTCTTAAAGTATTAGATGCCTTGTATATCTCATTTTCCATGGATAGACCAACTGGAAGATTCAGCCAACCCCTAGCAGATGTCCAGTCCATTACATCATGCTTTGCTACTTGCATAGCGTTGCTAATTGAGTTGATAAGAATACCCTGTAGAGGGTCAAGCCGATCATAGCAGGCATCACAAACCCTTTGTGGGTCCCGTTCCCTGAACTTAACTGGCAACAAAGACCTTCCTTTGGTGCAAACTCTACAAAATATCCCACCACAAAATCGGCAATGATGCCTGCCGCGAGTTATTGCAGTGAATGGAGCAGTGCACTGCATGCAAGCTGAAGTAGAACTATCTGGTAGCCACTCAGGAGGCTCAGCTTCCAATACCTCCTTGTATTCACTGTAATTAAAGCCCGCTGGCTCAAGGAGAGGTGGCGCACTAGGTATATAAACAGAGGAATGCAAGACGGTGTCACCGTTTTTCCCAGATCCGAGAAAGGAAACATTTGAGCTAGGGAGTTGTGAGATTCCAGAAAGGCCAGGCATTTTGTTCTTTCCAGTCAAAATCGCAAATATTCCACCCAAGACATTTTTCAGATTGACCTCTGGAACTCTGGCAATTTGCTTAGAGTCGCAAGGTTCATCGTCCGAATCATATCCACCATCAACAAACTCTTCCGAATCATAAGGGAAATTCAGATGTGAGTCGCTTTCCGATGCTTTTGAGCTTGATTGATGAGCGCCCACATCTTTTCTAGCAGACCAGGCAGGATTGGAATAGTCATCAATGTAAGGGTACATAGTATTCTCCTTCTCTAGGGTAGACAGCGTCGAGTAAGCAGATCTTCCATCAGAAGTCCCCATTGGCTAACAGCAAGCTGCAGCAACAAAGCAAATCAATAGGCGGTTAAAACTGCAATTGGAAATGCATAAGACTTCATAAACCCGCAACAACAACAAACAATAAAGTGAAAATCAAGAAATTGAATAACGTCAAACCACAAGCTCGATTCAAAAAAACAAGGCCCAGTTGTAAATCAAAACCCCATGGTCGCAAGCAAAGCTACGAAATCAGCGAAGAGACTGCCGATAGGTTCAAGTTCAGCTCAAAACAAACACAAACCCAGCTAACCACCAACTATGCACAGAAAGAAGAGCGGAAACTATTATTCCGAAATGAAACAACGGACTCATGATTAGGGTTTTCTGATCAGAAGGACTGCCATCGAAACCTACGGAATCTCTGGAAGAAGCAAGATGGGGGGAATTGGGATAAAAGGATGGAGATACCTTGTCCGTCTTGGGAGCGAGGGAGAAGTCTTGGGAGCGAGGATGTATGCTATGAATTGAAATAGACGAGAAGAGATTGAACTGAACAAATCTTTTGGGCTCCTGGAAAAGCGCGAAGGACCAACCGCATAAGCGAATAAGTATGATCAGATAAAAAAAAAAAAAAAAATTAGAACGAAACAACACGGGGTTGTTTGGATGCAGGATTTTAATCCATGGGATTTGAGAGGGATTTGGGCTTAAATCTCTCGATTATAAAACCCAGATATTTATCATGTGGAATTTGGGTAAAATTCTTAGTTTGGTTAAAGATCAGTGTTTTTATTTAGAAAAGTCAAATAACTAATTTGCCCTTATCTCCTTCATCTCCCATCGCCTCGTTTCTTCTCCCAAACCTAACAACACTCCAATCTGAACTTCCAGGCGCAGTTCTTCCTCACAAACCCAACCCCAACAGCATCCCAATCCCAATTCCCATTCTCAATTATTCCTCCCAAACCAACGACATCTCATTCCTAATTCCCATCTCATTTATTCCTCCCAAACCCAACGAAATCCCAAACCAACAACAAGCGAAGAAAACCCAGATTGGGGTTTTGATGGAGGAGTTGATCTCTGCAATTTCACTTTCGTACTCACTCTGCTCTTCTGTTTTGTTGGCGGAATAAAACTCCTCTTTGGAACGACAATGGATGAAAAACATCATGCTTCAAAAAGTTTCACCTTCTTCTCCCCAGATATGTAGGTGAATGACGATTCATTGGTGGTTGGTGATGTAGAGTAGAGCTGGCCAGCAGTAACAACGGCGCCGAAGGGAGGGGTTTGAGATTTGATGAATGGTGATGGTTGTTTGAAGTTGGATCGATGGGAGGTGGTGGAGGTTACTGGAAAGTGGTCGAAGGCAGAAGGAGAAGGAGGAAGGGCCAAGTTGGAACAACACAAAAAAAAATGAGAGATTTCCAAATAGCTGACCCCTATCAGCTATTTTGAAATCCCACATATGTGGGTTTTTAAAATCTCTGATAACCACAATCTCTGCTCTTTCCAAACGTGGTATTTGGTTAAAATCTCTCATTGTGTGGGATTGTTTTAAAATCCTGCACCACAATCCTGCAACAATCCCCAATCCAAACGACCCCCACAGCATTGGGAAGCAAGGCCAAGGAGTAATTCTGGATGTTGAACACGACACGTACTTGCTTGGTGGGCCTCCGTTTTGACAGGTTGAAGGAATAGGACCCACAAATTTTGGTGAAGCGGACGAAAGCCCATGATCTTAATTCCCCCCCAAAAATACTAAATTTGTTATAAAAAAAAAATAAAAACAATATAATAGTCAAATATTTCAATTCCAAATAAAATAATAATCAAACTTTTTGAAAACAATTTAATAGTTAAACTGTTAACTTCTCACCTAGTCAATTGTTCGTTGACTCTGACATGGCATATAAATAATTGACTCAAATTTTTTTTTGCTGACGTGTCAAAAATGTAAATTATTTAATTGTGTCACATTAGATTGTTGAAAAAATTACAACCAAAATTATTTTAATGGTGGCCACTTCGGTGCACCCACTTTTTTGGGTGTACTGAATGCACTCACTTTCTGGTTTAATCTTGATCGTTCGATATATCTTGCGGTTGAAAATAATTGATAAATTTTCAATAAATTATTAACTAATAAATATACAATTTATTTAAATAATTAATAATTATTGATAATTGCAATTTAGGATCTAACATTAACTCTCTTTAAAATTCAGATTTCTTCCCATCACAACAAATAGTGCCGCTCTCACCCAAAAAGAAGATCGATTGGCCGGCGGCGGCCACGCAATCTCAGTGTGACGGTGACGCCAACTCTGACAACTGAGAACAAACTTCTTGGTGCCTCCGACAATACACCCCTTGTACAATTCAATGTTGGAGCCGACGAGGTCGAGGAGCAAGAAGGTCCGATGTTCCCCGCTACAGCTGTCGAGTTTCCTCCTCGTCGGCTTCTTCTCACTCAGAGCCACGACCTCAAAGTCCCTCAAACGTTGAGCCCTTTCCACTTCACTGAACGTTATTCCCATTCTTTATCACCTCCTCCTTCTCCGAGCAAAACCCAATTCCGATTCCCTGACAACATCTGCTACTTCGTCCCCAACACCATCTCCCACATCGAACCCTAAAAGAAGATAAATCAGATAGGTCAATTTCCTCGAACTGAATTTCTCATCACCCAAATTCCTCAGGGCAATCAACAACCAGGGCATCTTCCTTCTGATTAATAGCGCCAGCTATCAGCTCCGAAAGAAAGCACAAAAAAGAGACATGAGAACAAGATCAATAAAAAAGGGGAATCCAAATTTGAGCTCAATCATCATATCTTCTCCTGATGAGCCGCATGGCTGCGGTAGAAAGCCGGATGTGAGGAGAAAAAGAATTATCAGCAATAGTATTTGCGTAAGAGAAAGGAGGAGAGAAAGCGATACGAAATTGGGTGGGAAAGAGAATTCCGACGATGGTTTTCGTGATATAAATATTGAGACGGAGTGGCTGAGGTAGCATTTGAGGTCGCCAAAGGTAAGGTTATCGGCGGTGCCGACTAGACCGAGTTCGCAAACGGAACTCTCTCCACAGTTTGAATTGAGGATTATTACTATTGTTCCCTGTATTTATACTTTCATAGGCTGGGCCTCAATTGCTGAAGCACCGGAAACCCATAGCGTCGTTGTTGCTGTTGTTGATGTTGAGAGGCTGCCGGCAATTCAGACTAGAAGTTATTGGCGGAGAATTCTATGGGGAAAGAGTTGAAATCGGAGAAGTAGTTGTGGTGGTATTACTGTCTGCAGGGCGACCCTTTGATGCAAGCGATGGCCGGATTGGTGCGCTGGTGGTGGAGGACGACGATGCAGGCCACTGGAAAAAGTATTGACGGGTAAGAGGGGAAAACAATCGTGGAAGAGAAGAAGAGGGTTTGGGGTCGAATTGCAATTATTAATAAGTTTAAATTACTTTAATAAATATAATATATTTTATTAGTTAATAATTAATTATAAATAAATTAAATTATCGTAACCGTTAGATGTAATCAATGAATACGATTAAACAGGAAAGTGAGTGCGTTTAGTGCACCCAAAAAAGTGGGTGTACTGAAGACGCCGCCTTATTTTAATACATATTTCTTCCCCTTTCTCTATCGACCAAAGAGAATTCCCTACCCTGTGGCTACTTCTCCTTCTCCAGATCTATTTTCTTTTCACCCTCATTCTCGACTTCTTCTTCTACTTCTACTTCTCCTCCCTCCTTTGGCATCTAAATATTGGAGGAACAATCGCGCACAAAACACATCCTTCGCATTCTCTTCTTCGTCGACTCCAAAACCGTCGTCCAAACTAGTCTCATCTCCTGGCGGAGAGATATGTTTGGAAAAGCGTCTCGGCCCTCAATTTTAAGTCAAAACGTCAAAGTCAACTAATAGTTGATCGGAAGGAAAGTTAACGGTTTGGCTAATATTGATTTCGAAAAGGTTTGACTATTAAATTGTATTTACCCTTAGTTTTTCTCGACTGGATACTAGTTCTATCGGCTGACGTGGCTCTCAGCCAAAAAACCACAAAAATCCACTTAAATGAGCCCTTCCTTGAGCCACTGATCCCCAACCTTCAGATCTCAGCTTGAACGAGGAGACACTCCATCCCACCGTGTGAGTATATACTCACAAAAATGGTTGTGAGTAGATTAACTTTTTCCAGAAGGAGGGTCTTGATCTAGAGGTGGGGGTAGACTTCTTCCAATCAATACCCATCAATCAAAATGCTTTTGTTTTCAATGATTTGTTTATTTTATTTTAGTATAAGACAATTTTATTATAATAACAATAATAAATTTTAGGTAATTTTCAATTATTATACACATAATAAAAACTAATCATTGTGAATCTTAAGTATTAAACTCAATTTAAATATTATAATTTTTTTTGGAAATATACCTCTAGGACAACCACATTTTATAAATAGCATCATTTCTGGTTCAAAATTATTGAAATAAAATTTTAACATGATGTTACCTCATTGTTTACTTTTATCATTAGTATTCAGCGATCAACATTACATAATATGTAGTAGTATCTGTATTACCAAGTAATAATCCTAGGTATTTTAGATATGTATTCCACGACTCTTCTGATGGTAACTACTTTGAAACTAATTGATTGTGTCAGAATAATAGGACAACAAAAAAAGTAAATTCGATAGGTTGAGATTTCCTATAGTTTGCCCTACTGAGGTCAACTGAATCTATGAATGTATTTCATCCTCATCTTTTTCCGTGATGATGAATGATAAACCAATAGGTTAATTTAAGCCATCTCGGGGATTAAGACAAGGGGATCCTTTGTCCCCTTTGCTTTTTGCAATATGCACAGAAGGGTTTACAGCATTGCTTCGTAAAACGGTGGCTAAAGGGCTCTTAGGACTCTTATGTGCTCAGAGATATCGCATTTGTTCTTTATCGATGATTGTTACATGTTCCTGAGGAGTTCACTGTCGGAGTTTGAGTGATTGCTTTAGGTACTATAGGAGTATGAGACTATGAGGTGCTAAGCAGAAATCGTGTGAATCTGGTTAAGTCTGCAGTTTGCTTTAGTCGATATATTGTGATGCAAAATGTTCTGTATTGGTGGCAAAGCTATAAGTTATAGTGGCTAGTATTCAAGATAAATATCTTGGTCTACCTTCACAGATTGCTCATTCAAAATTTATGACATTTCGATATTTGAAGGGGGGAAAATACTTGGGAAGCTCCAGAAATTGAAGCGTACACAACTTTCTTGGGCGACAAATGAAACTTTGCTTAAGTCGGGTGCTTCGGAGTTGTCGGTTCGTGTTATATTATGTTTTCTCCTCCTATTGACGATGTGTCGGAAATTGAATTTTGACATGTTTGATCTCCAACAAATCTGGTCATTTCCGAAAAATCTAATTCCGATCCTCTCATTTCTCTCTTAATTCAATTTTAGTCTTCCCCCAACCCCCACCAATTGTCGCTCCCTAATCCCTCCCGCTTCACTCACCTAATTATACTTATCAGATGAATAGCTGCTGGGTCACGCGTGCAGTCTACTAATTTGTTGCTTGCTGCCATTTTTATGCGTGAACACATTATTCCATATACTCAATTACCCGGCTTAAAATAGGGTGAGTAATCTTAAGATGAGTAACAATGAGTAACCAAATCTGAACCCTTCTTTTAAGTGACTGCAGATCTAAGAGTGGAGAATTAAAGAAATTTATTTTCCCTAGTTTTCTTGATTGGATCATTTCTTCTTCATTCTAACTCGGATTTCAATTTTTTTTGCACAGATGGAACGAGTTCGTTGTGCTCTACAAAATGATATCCATTTTCAATATTTTTTGAGAAAAAAAATTTCATCCCTCTCATTACCAACTCCATACCATACGGTATCTCCTTCGTTATTTAGTAATTTTCGAAAATTTTTGCACAAAAGGAACGATTTAATCATGATCTATTGAATTTCAAAATTTTCTGGGGGGGGGGGGAATTTTCAAACCTCTCGTTACCAACTTCATATTATACTATACCACCCTGGTATGAGGTGGTATTTTTCATACAATATGGTATTGACTGGTATTAAATAATAGCATATGGTATTGACTGGTATTTTTCATACCATATGGTATGTTGTTATTTAATACCAGTCAATACCATATGGTATAGACTGGTAATAACTTTGATATTTTTTTGTTCAAAAAAATATCAAAGTGAATATAATTTTGAAGAGCACAATTAATATGATCTAACTGTGCAAAAAAAATTAAATTCAGAGTTAAAACGAGTGAGAAATCGTCCCTTAAAGATTAAGGGAAAGAAAATTAATGATTTTTCGAGGAAAGAGAAGGAGGCGATGATGTGGCAGATTCTTATTGATTTATGCATGAGGTTACTCACCACAAGG